TTTTGAAACGGAGATAAATGCATGAGGAGATAGCCCGTCATCAGCTCTCTCAGAAACACTATTGGTTTCTTCTTCAGCACCCTATTTTGATGGAAATTTTTGATGATTTCCATTAACTGCTACTATCGATGATGAAAAATTTTTTTTTGAAAAAAAATGATTTTCTGCAAAAGATAGATTTTCTGCAGACGATGTATTTTCAAGATTGCTCAACCAAGGTACAACAGAAAGCCTAATATTTTTTTTGTTTGAAAGAGCGTCGAAAGCTGCAGACACTGTGAGGCTCCTTTTTTTAAGTATACCTTCAATTTTAGTACAAAAAGGACAAATATACCACTTTTCCCGTATTCTCAAGCAGTTTTTTGAGACATTGATCTTTCTATGGATTTTTTTCGTATAAAAAGTGACATTGAAAAAAAACGGGCTCTCACAGTGTCTGCAGTTTTTGACCCTCTTTCAAACAAAAAAAAAGTCTATAAGTTCAATGAAGTTTCACAGAGAAATCTTGAAAATAAAAAGTGCTATTTTTGACCCTTTTTTGGCCATTATCTCGCTGATGCGTCGTAGGACCGGGCTGAAAATTTTATGATAGCTTATCTATCATAGCCCCAACATATCCTGAAAATTTCATGCGATTCTTACGAGCCGGGGCTGAGATCGATTTTTGAGGGGGGGAGGCCTTAAGGCAATAAAATAGTATTTAACGCAATATTCTTCTGTATCCCCATGCACGGAAAATAAATTATTTTCCGATATTTTTTCAGCGTTGAAGTGATACAATTCATTGATAAAAGTGCTAAGCGTTGTGACGGTGCACGGATTTTATACTGTTGTAATGCGTTGACAGATTGTGTCCGGTTGTACGCCATAAAATGATTCAAACAGCGCGTTTTAACGGGATATCTTACTTCATACGTTGGAGCAGGTTAATTCTTCGTAAGTAACGCGTTATTAACGTACGTTAATGAGTGCATCAAGATAAAAAGTCGTAGAAAAGGGAAGAGAAATTACGAAAACCCTTTGCATGAAATTAAAGAGATATTGCGTAACAATGAGAACGCCAACACAATTTTGTCTCGTATAACGAGAAAATGCTGATTTTTGGCAAAATAAAATCGCTATCTCATAATTGTAATCACGTTCTTGATCAGATCAGTAGAGCAGCAAAGCATTTTTTCGTGTGAAAAAAGTACAAAAGTAATGTCGTAGTACGCGTATGTAATAGCCATATAAGACAGAAAATGCATACAAAATTAAGAACGGTAGATATGTGTTTTGAAATACTGCATTCGTTTAAATGAAGCTGTACACAAGGAAGCTGAAAAAATGACAGAAAATAGAGTAGATAGTGTTTTTTGAACAAAATCGCGCATAAAAAACACAGTAACGCAGAAGTATGGAAATAAAAAACAACGAATTTTTCAAAATCAACAAGATAAAACAGATCGAATCCGGCTACAAATATCTGACCGTTTATCGTTTTTCCACAAAAGTATTTTACTCGAATGATCCAAAAATTATTGAACGACATGATCAGATGAGTTCTTTTACAAAATTTTCTTATTTGCAATTGTATTTTTTTCTACCATGCTACCGGTGACTTAAACAAACAAAAAGTAATTGTGTACATAGATATTCCCTTGACTGTAAAGCAAAGGGTCTTATAGAGTTAAAATGCCTGTATGTATGTTTGTATGTTTGCTTGTATGTCCGCAGACTAGATACTAGCGACAGACAAACTAGTACAGCAAAAGTTGATTGGCTGATAATGATATGGAGTAGGTAGTACACTATGGGGAATCAGAAAATGAGTATGAGCGACCTCTAGGATTGTATTGGCGGAAAAGTTCATTTTAACTTCATTGGGTGAAAACGATATAGAATAGGTATTCGACTATGGGGAATCAGAAAATGAGTGTGAGCGACCTCTGGGATCGATTCTATTGGCATACACAGACATTTGAACATGGTGTGAAGGATATACGTACATACATATTGTGAATAGTCCTCCAGCGAACACCGACCGAAGGGAGGTGTGATCGTTGTCTGTGATTCAAAGTCGTTGCAGGTCATGCGCAAATATAAGTTGCTGTAGTCCCCTTGCGTATATAAGTAGGGAGTGATCAACAGTGTGAAAAAGTGTTACATTACTTATGACCGATAGTACAATGAAAACTAGACCACCAGCTGAACCACCTGAGCCGTCGGTGGAGAGTGAGCGGGCTAGCGAGCGTTACTTGGCTCGACTTGATGGGTTTGAAATGGTATTCCCTTTACTGTAAAGGAAATAGTCTTATCGAGTTAAACTGTCCGAAAATTGGTAAATTCGATTGCAGTATATATGTGTGATTCAGGACAGATTAGAACTTCCGGGTAGTAATTACGTGAGCAAGTGGAGTGAGTGTAGGGTGAGTGTGCGGGTGCAACTTTACAATGTATGTAAGAATTCTAAGTTCACCGAACATGTAAAGTTCAGAATTGTAAAATTCTAGGAATAGCAGCAATGTTTGAACTTTACATTTTGTAATCGTAATCGCGCAACCCTCAATGTATTGTGGACGAGAAAGATAATTATAATATTCTATAGAAATAATGTCCTATTGGTGATTCCTTTCCAGTCAAGGGATAAGTGAATCAGAATGATGAACGCTACTTGTGAATTTAACGGATTCAAAAACTTCGATTGACGACTCTCATGCCAATTTTACCGTTCATAATAAACATGTTGATAGTTTATGTGCCAAAGGTAGTCCATCACAGGAATTATCATGTGATCGATTAAATGCGATTAAAGATTTACAAACCGATATTTCAAAGAAAATAATTGATATAGATGAAGAAAATATAGATGTGATTCGAATTGAACTTCAAAACACAACCGAATTTAAACATAAGTGATGTAAGTGTCATCTAATTCATCCTCTACTTTATTTTTTCAGTCACAACAAATGACGTATCCGAAATCAGCGTAAAAGCCTCCATCATTTAAGTCAGAAATAATCATTTCTAATGATTAAAAACCTAAAGTCGGCCTGTATAGTGAAAAACGTCTACTGTCAGTACTTGTAAATTCAGTCGACTCATTAAAAAGTTTCTGTGAAAAAGAGGCATATGTTGTTTCCAAACAAAGTTTTATAAGGTAAATGTTTCGTGAATCTTATGAAACGTGTCCGACAGTTGAGCGACTTTTCGTTCTCGATGGAAGACGTCACGCAATTTTACTTTCTAATAGCTGGACTGCCTCATCAACACTACCAGAATACTCTTTTTTTTCTGCCCGTCCGTTTTTGTTTCCCCACTGAAGCCATTTAATCTGAACGTTACCGTCAATAACTTTTTGTTCAACCTCATCTCGAAAGAAATTTTCACAAAGTGGACACTGACTGAACATACACTCCTCATTCTCTGTATTACAAACCAACGACTGAGTGACAGTTTCTAGAGACGAACAAACTTTTCCAGCAATACACTTATCGAAACTTTTCAAAAACAAATCAACATTAGCATGATAGACGCAAACACAAACACGATGAGCCAAAGCCACCTTGCAAACAACGAATGGAGGTCTCAAATCAGCAAACGCGGAACGACTCAAATCAACATTCTTATTTTCCTCTCTGAATAACTCGTAATTTTCTCTTAAATTATTAATTGAAATTCTTTTTTGGTACGTTGTTTTCTGTCCATCATCGTCTTGTACTAGAATAGTATCACGTTTACCAGGTAGCTGATACGAAACATCGTCATGAACATTGAAATTATGAATATCTTTTTTCAGTTTTGTAGAAAGTTGAACTGAAGTACGATGATGAGTTGGTTTAGAAATTAGACCAAATTTCTGAGCTAAATGCTGAACAATTATTTTTTTCTTTTTATCACATTTCGGTAAAAACGAATTAACCTTTTTCAAAGACTTTCCGAACGACTGACGATTCTTGAATGAACTGGAAACTGTTTTTGTATTCAAACGTTTTTTTTTACTCTTACGAAAATTAACTTGATTGATTTTATTTTTCAAACGGAATGCTGCCAGATCTAGACCAGTTAACTTTTCTCTCTTCGAATTACCACGAACACGAGCCTTAGCTTTCGCCGCTTTATATTTAACCGTATCTTTTTTGATTTTCTCACGATATTTTTTCGCTCTTTCCGCCTGACTCATGGCCATTCTCTTATCTCACTAGGAAATCTAAACAACACTTACCTTGCAAAAAAATACAATAGAAAATAAAATATGAGAGATAATAGAAGTAAAAAAATAAACAATGTCGTTCTCTTTTTTAAAAAAATCACACTTATATGGATGGAAGCAAATCTTGCTTCTAATGCGTCGTTCTTTTATGCTTAGCTTTCGGTAAAATAAAAGGGGTGAGTGTGTACATTACATTTTTCTCGCTCGCTAGTAAATTAGATTTTTCTTTTCTACTCTCTCAAAGCAACGATCACAATACACGCAGGAGACAGATGGATATAGAGCTGTATCGGAATCGTTAAGTACACTCTGTATATAGAAGGTCAATGAGTTCTATTCAAACCTGACGCTCTATGTGCTCAGTAAATTTAGTGGCGGATCTGAGTAGCACACGTTTAGTTGATCAGTGCTCTTTTATTATTTCGCTTATTCCAGTAAAAATAGCACTCTATAATTCAGCTAAAAAGCGCTACCACTGATTAAGTTTTCGTAACTGCGTCACGCTTTTCTACGATTAAATGCGCTTGTTTAATGAAAAACAGTAGTTCGTTGGGTTCGCCGTTAAAAACTGATTATAGTGAACACTTTTTTTTGTCGAAATTCAATGGTTCGTATAACAAGATTTTTAAAATTAGGTATTTTCGTGACGCAATTACATTGAGTTTTATTATGTATTTCTTCGGCCACTATGAGATAACAAAGCAACGGATTCAATTCGTTCTTGCGCCAAAAGAAAGAGCGTGGTCGATTGTCTATGGATCATGTCTGAAAGAATTCCAATCTCGATTTTTTAATGTTGAAAAAGTCTAAGAAAAACAGATTGAAAAAAACGCGATCCGCAAACTTGCATTAAACTGATTTTGTGCAACGTTTTTATACTTTCAGGTTTGATTTAGGTCAGTAAAAAGCACACTTCATGACACTATCGGATGCGCTCTACAACGTGACACTAATGGTTTTGTTCAGTTTCGAAAAAAATACTTGATCAGAGAAGTGTCGCGTTACGTGGACAAGCTGCCTACACAATGTCGAGATAAACATAATCGTTCTTGCGTTCTTATAAACAATAATTCAGAACAACAATTGCATCGCACCACTAACAGACCAGGTTTCAACGCAGTCACTCATATATGGCCTCAGTTAGCGAACAAGTTAGATACAGTAATGGATCCAAATGTGATGAAAAAGTTCGATGATGAATTGAAAACAATTAAAGATAACTTTAATCAAGAGCTGGACATGTCAAACGAGATTTATGAAAAGAAAATGATTCAATTTCGTGAAGTTGGTAATTAATATCTTAACAAATAAAAGATTCAACAGGAAGTGATCGCTGGTTTGTCGACTACCATTATTTTGACCGTCATGCCAATGGGAGTGTATCAGTCACTCAAATCCTTCAAAACAATGAATAAAATAAAGCATTGAAAATAACTTACATCAAATGTCGCAACAACTACTTATTGAAAACAGTAAATTTTCCGACTATCACACTTCAATTCAAAAACATCAAGATCAACTTACGACACAGGTTGGGAAACTAACAGCAGCTTCGATCGAGGGAATGTACTTACTCTTTTGTTTAAAGGAATAACGCAACATTCAGGTATTCAGATCAGTGTGTAAGAAAAGACATTATTAACAAATATGACGGCTCAGTGAGTGAGAAAAACACCCTTAGTCAGATGTGCAACGAATAAAACTCTAGAATATGCATCTGTGACCTTTGTCGATTATGGAAAAAGAACAGACCGGATAAAACAACGAAAATTCAAGAAGTATACCAGTTTGTAGAAAATTGTTTCCACTACAAGATGTGATAGCTTGTCAAGTTCGAAACTATTCTAATTAATCTGTATTAATCAAAGAAAAATCAGCTAAACGGTAACGGTGTGCCACTTTTGACCATTTTTTGTCACACCGTTATCGTTTCCCTGACTTTTCTTTGATTAATACAGATTAATTAGAATAGTTTCGGACTTGACAAGCTATCACATCTTGTAGAGGAAACAATTTTCTACAAACTGGTATACTTCTTGAATTTTCGCCTGCTCGTCTTCACTCTTTTAGACACGTTTCTCAGATAGGTCTAAAATAGATGTTTGGGGCTGTTTGTACGACAACTGTATTTTCATAACTAATCAACATTAAGAGTCAAGGTACTTTTTATCTTGTAGGGAAATGTTTAATGTACTTGATTATGTAGTTGCAATTTTAGATTAGTGTGTAGCTTTACTGCAATAATCTTTTGAAAAGAGCGAAAAAAGGATGCCGTTACTTGGACAAGGCGATATAGTTTTATTTTTACCTTTTACTTCACTTTTTGGCAGCATGCAATGGGGTGATACCTTGATTTGTTGTGTTTTAGAATAAAAATTTATGGTTTAAAAAAAATTTTGTATCTTTGGTGACTTTAATGCAAAAAACATAGAATGACCCTGCGTGAAAAATAATTTGAGTGGGATCCAGTTGAAGGACTGACTGAATGCGAATGAATATGAGAGCATTGCATCCAAAAAATCAACATCTAAGTCCGTTATTAATTTTGGTATCACTAATGATGCGAATGTATGGAAAACTGAGGCTCTTAGTGAAGGAACATCTGATCATTTTCCTGTGCTCTATTTTGCACCCTTCAGAGCATCCCAAACAGGTTGTTTTCGAAAAACTAATTGGAAAATATTTTCGTTTTTTCTTGAATGTGTTTGTCCGCACTGGAATACATTTGTTTATAATGCAGATGAGCAGATCTTTTTCATCTATTCTCTTCCTTTCTCTCTTCTGTGTGGGATAGATGTAGTGAATAGGAACAGATTAAAAAATACAGATCACCCTGGCAGTGCTATTTTGTCACCGTAGCAAGAACAGTTAACTTTTAGAAAAGAAAATATAAAAGAAACCATATGTTAAACGGCCATGTTATGTTTCGCTATTGGAAAAGAATTTTTATCGAAGAGAAAATAAACTATCCAGATAAAGTAGAAAGTGACAAGTTCACTTGAGTGTCACAAGGTCAAAATATATGTACGTTTGTCAAACCAACATTTCACCCTTTTTCACCACCTTTTAGAGATCTCATAATTCAACGAACTCGTATAACAAATCAGACTGGAATTGGAATTCTTCAGGATCACCTCCGTCTTCTCAATGTCCACCGGCTTACAATGAACCCATGACTTCCAGTAAGATTCTTTGACTGGTTCGGTTGCTCGCGATTCTCACCGCTCGTTCTGCTGTTTCACGATGTGCCCACGATAACAACGACTGCTACAGCTAGCACAACAAGTATATGTTGTTCGACTTTGTACTGACTGCTAAAACACGGCGTACAACATGATTTTGGGGAAGACTGTAGTGATCAACGTACAAGCTATTTCTAGAATGTCAGCTTCTCTGTTAGTTAACTATAAGTCCGTATTTCAAAAAAACATTTGTCTGACTACAGAGCCTCTACTATAACCACTTTATTGTATAATTTTGCTGAATGCTGTTAAGCTGACTTATTCTTGTGTAAACCTCAGTTATTTCATACAGGAAAACGAACTTCGTTCCTTCTGGGTACAACGACAACTACAATCACTACGGTTACTACTACAACTACGTCTGTTACATGGACGAGTAGGTACGTTTAGGGCAATGAGACTCGTGAGAACCCTGAACCGAAAGCTTAAAACGGTAGTTGCGCGAAGTGATGGTGCTTCGCGTTTGATAAAGCTCACATAATTGTGTAAGGAAACATAGTTCCCAATAGTTTGTGTTTTCGTATAACTGAAATTAAGTCTCAGTTTAAGCTGTGCGAAACTCTTGACTTCTGCCATTAAAAGAAATATCGTCATCCATAACAACTGATAAGTGTTATACCACATTCGACAGTTCTCCATGAAGGAATCTAGCACGCTATGCACAGGTACACTTGTAGATATGTTGCTAATATCACTTTGATGTCTCACTGGTTCTCCTAAGTTCAACTAAAACTCACCCCAGTTACAGTATCATCGCTGACGCATGATCCCCCGATTTTGACTTTGACCTCACAAGTTTCAAAAATACGTTTTCACTTTCTCATCATTTGCGTAAAGAACATGGAGTTCATTGATGTTACTCAAAATTACGGTGGGATCACAGCTCAATACCCCATAAAATTCTAATCCTTTCTATGTATGTAAGCTCACGATCAACGAATGAAATAAACGAGAAATGATGAAGAGAAAGAACATGCACTTCATTCATAAATATATAAATGTCCCGATGTAGCCGGATATCTAGACTGTGTACGAGAAAGAAAATTTCTTTTCTGGTATTTCAAGCTATTTTCAGCTTCGAACACATGAGAGCTCTCTGTCTCTATATATGCAGTATCAATAATTTACATCTGACTTTCCAACAACAGGAAGCGAAAGTACTAACACTAGCACCACAACAACGAAAATAAGACACCACCATTGTTTGATTATATCTGACTTGGTAGTCCGTTTTGATACGATTACGAAAGTAAAATGGATTGAATTCGCACTACATGCATGTCTCCATACAACCTGATCTGCTACAGAAACCAGGACTCTTTATTATTTGTGATAGCCAATCTGACCAATCCAATGTTGATTAGTTATGAAAACACAGATGTTGTACAAACAGCGCCAAACATCTATTTTAGACCTATCTGAGAAACGTGTCTAAAAGAGTGAAGACGAGCAGGCGAAAATTCAAGAAGTATACCAGTTTGTAGAAAATTGTTTCCTCTACAAGATGTGATAGCTTGTCAAGTTCGAAACTATTCTAATTAATCTGTATTAATCAAAGAAAAATCAGCTAAACGGTAACGGTGTGCCACTTTTGACCATTTTTTGTCACACCGTTACCGTTTTCCTGACTTTTCTTTGATTAATACAGATTAATTAGAATAGTTTCGGACTTGACAAGCTATCACACACAAAAATCATCACTTTTGGTTTAGAAGTCTCAGCATCCGAGCATGA